CAAGGTACGTACTACCTCATTTCGCCAGCCTCCGTCCAGCCCATCGCACCGCCAGAGATTCTGAACCACTGCTCTGTCTCGTCGGTGCTCGCATTGCAGGTACGGGAAATAGTAGGAAATGCGAGTAGGTTCATGCAGGAGGAGATCATAATGGAGCACTTGTATGACTACATGTTCCACCTTCTGAGCGAGTACGCTCCGCTGCTGCGATATAGGCTCACGGTGCCGAACGGGACCGTGGAGGTCACCGTGCAGTCCATGACGCACGAAAGGCGAGCTGCCGTCCCCTTTCGGGCCCGAGGAGCTAGAGGCGCTGCGGAGGAGGAAAGACGTTGCGGTGAGGCAGGTGGAGACGCGGGAGGAGCGGTGACCGACAACTGACGAACAAAGGAGAGAAGAATCAAAGGATGGCGTACATACGTGCGTGTTCTGAGTTTCTAACATGCGCAATGGACCGGCCATAGTGCCATTGGAGTGGTGGGGAGCTTAAGGCGCCGAACAGGAGCTCCCAAACGATACATAGGAGCGCCCGTCATCATCCATGATGCATCCAAGGATGTATAGATGTGGCCTACATGCAGCTCGGCCCAACCAAATTCATGAACCTCAAAGCATCTCTGGGCCTCACTAGGGAGGAGCGGCCGAATCGACCGTTTTTCCACAACCAGGCTCCGGCAAGCCACGCGTAGCTGTGGCTTGCACAACTAGAGGAGACAGAATGTATCGTCACTACTTCCCACACTCCTCTCCTCTCACCACCCAAACCTCCATTTACACAACTCTCTCTCACAATTCATACGGTCTCATCGATGGCCGCCGATGGAACACCTACGCTGCGCCTAATTCTTTCCCCCGTCAGCAGTGCCAATCACGACCATTGGGTCACCTCTGTTACAAGGTGGGGGGCTACAGCCCTAGTGAGTTGCAGAGGGTGTTGCCTGCCTCGACCCCCATCTGCATGAAGCCGCGCTCCGCGTGCATCGGCCACCCATCAGTGGCCGATACCTCCGTTGTGGTGTTGGGTAGTTTGTCTAATGCGAGGGATACTTCGACATCAATGGTGGTGGATGGTTCGATTGACTCAATGAAGTCTTGAAAAGGGCATTTTCCTCATGATTTTCTTTAGCATACCATGGGCATGTTCGATCTGACCATCTACATTCTTGCAAGCTCTCTATATGAATATATATTCACTAATCACAACAGTAAAATTGTATGAATTACAACTCCATGTTCTTATCGATCTTATAGCGTCTTCTAGGACGTTTGGATGGTAGTTTGGACGGCTATACTTTTGTTGGCAGCATGATGAGTTTGGCTTTGTGCATGACCTCATTCTATGACTTCTATTGTCATACCTCAAGCTTATTTGGTCTGTGAAATGAAATATTGATACATTATATATTAGTTCACTTTGAAATTACATTTGCATGACATTTGTGTTTATATTTACATTTCATTATCAATGTGGATTTGTGGTTCAGATGTTGGGTGCTATATATTATAATATTTGAAAACCTGATTTTTGATTTCTAGATTAGACACACGGACTTAACTTGCCCAGGCTTCACAAAAGTTTCGGCTCAGCCACTGCCTATCGCACTAAGAGCAACTCCAAAGGGCCGACCCATTTCGTCCGCCTGCGTCCGTTTGGGTTGGCACGGACAAAAGTGGCGGCCCAACGCGCCGACCCAAACTCAAATCACGTCTGCGTCGCGTCCGCGCTGGCGCATGTGCGGCCCAAATTTGCGTCCCAAATGCGTCGGTGCGGACGCCGAACGGACGCTTCGCGCGCCTTCTCGCTATCCGCCGTGTCCCTACATGGCAGCCGTCCAACTACCCGCTGCCCACGCGGTCAGCTTAATTTATGATGACGGGCCCACGCGTCAGCGACGACGCTCGTCCTTTTTTAAGCCGACCATGCGTCGGGGCCGTCCTCATCCATACTCGCCGTCCACATCTGCCCACCTTTGCTCCCTCGTCGCCGGCAAACCCTAGCCACCACAACCACAGCGAGATGGGCCTCTTTTCCGGCGCCAGCGGCAGCAAGGCCAAGGGCAAGTCCCCCGCCACCCCTTTCCCCTCCGAGTTCCTCCCACCTCTGCCGGCGCCTCGCCGGCAGAGGCAGCGCGTCGACGTGCCAGTGCACCAGGCGGAGTGGCACTGGCAGAACCTCCAGCCTCTGCCGTATCCGGACATGACGCTGCCGCGCGACTGGCATCTGGATCCAGAGAGGATCCCAGTGCCGGCGGCGCCGCGGCCGACTCGTGCTCACGCGGAGGAGGTGTGGCGCCGGCGAGCGCTGCTGACGCCGGAGCAGCGCCTCGACAAGGCCTACGCAACCGACTCGCCCAACTGGGCGAGGTGGTTCGCCTTCGAGCACGAGAAGGCGAGGCGACGGGGCGTGCGCGACGTCGACTGGAGGCCAACGCCACTCGTCGTCCGCGAGGAGGACCAGGCGGCGGAGGACGCCTACCTGGCGGCCCTTGCGGCCGTCTACCGGGAGAGCGAGGAGGACGAGCGGCGCAGAGCGGAGGCGGCGGAGGCAGAAGAGGAGGCCCGCTACGAGGCGGCAATGGCGCAGGCCCTTGCCCTCTCCGCCGCGGGCGACAGTGTGGTATCGCCAGTGGCCCCGCCGTCCCCCATCAAGCCGAAGCCGGAGCCCGAGCCAGAGCCCATCGCGCGCTTCTCCTGGAATGGAGTGGTGCCCGAGTGGGTGTCCGTGCCACCGGTTTGGCTGGGGGCGACGCCGGCGCAGGAGCAGGCGTACCTCGAGATGTGGCGCCAGCGCCGGCTGGCAGAGGAGCGCCGTCGCGGCGAGTACGAGGAGATGCTCGAGCGCGACCTCGAGGAGGAGCAGCGCGAGGCCGAGGAAGAGGAGCGCCAGGCCGCGGCTGCACAGGCGGCCGCACACACCCCCGCCCCGGCACTGCCTGCGCCGGCACAGCCCGACATGGCGGCGCTCTGGAACACGGCATTCACCTAGGCCGGGCCAGCGCCGACGCTCATCGACCTCACGGACCCCGAGGATGACGACGACGACGCCTAGGGCAGCGCGCCGCCTCGTAGTTTAGGCTATTTTTTTAATGCAAATGTGTGGACGCGTGGACTCTCGCCGGCCTTCGTGACCGGCTTTAATGTTTAATTAATGTTGTTTCTCTTTTTTTTATATGCATGCGTTTATGTTTTTGGCGCCGTCAAAATGGTATCGGCCAACATTGGGCGCAGGCGCCGACCCAGATGCCGAAACGGGCATCCGTGTCCGTCTGACCGACCCAAACAGACAGAAAACGGACGAAATCACCGTCCGTTTAGGTCGGCCCGTTGGAGTTGCTCTAACATGCTAATGCACTATGAGAAAGCTCCATGCGACCCCTACTAGCATTTCTGCACGCCAATAAATGTGAAAACAACCCGTAGCTGGATCACCACCTTCCGTCTAAAAGTTAAGTTTATATCTGGTGCAGCGAGTTGGGTGAAGGGAGCAGAATGGCTAGCCAGTCCACATCACATGATCAAGTGCACTTGCATCATCAGAGCAACTCATTTCCTCCGCCGTCGTCTGTTTGAGTTGGCGCGAACAAAAAAGCCGGCTCAACGCGCCGACTCAAACGGTCGCGCGTCCGCTTTCGTCTACCTGCCGACTTATTCCTGGCCCATTTTTGAGGCTGATTTGCGTCGGCGCAGATACAAGACAGACGTGCGCGCGCTCGTCCTCTTTCCTCATCAGGCCCGCTGGTCGGTGGTATATTGGATTCACACACTCGCCTGCCTGCTACATCGCCGATGCCGCCGGCCATTTTTTCAGACTAAAACGGATACACAGATAGTTCTAGTGTACACAGATAAAAGAAAAAGACCACTACTCGTCGCTTTCTGACTCTGACTCGATAATGTCCTCCTCCGACGTTTGAAGGTAGGCGTCAGCAAGCTGCTCGTCTTCAAAGTCCCAACCCGACGTTTCTTGTAGCTTCAGTTTCAATTGAGCTGCCTGCTTCCGCGAACGCTTGTCCTCCTGATAGGCGGCTCGCTCCTTCCTCCTCGCGTCCCTCTCCGATCTCAATTGCTTATAGAACTGGCGCTCGTCGATGATGTCCTGCGGGTAGCCTCCTCGCCACAGCATCAAGGCTTCCACGTCCTTCTCTGTGATGGCGAGGCGACGCTGCCGCCTCCGATGGACACGACGATCCTCGTCGGTGAAAAGCCGCGGGAGAGGCGCCAGATCCTGCGCCCGCTGGCTCGACACGTTGAAAAAATTCATATCCCAACGAGGCCTCAGGAGGCGCCATGCAGCCGCGTCGTGCGCGCGGGCCGCCTCCTCTGCGGTGCGGAAGGTGCCGAGGATGAGACGTTTCTCGCGAAACCAGATCTCGGCGGAGAAGGCGCCGGAGCGGCGCTCGTGGACTCCGCGAAAATCCGAAGCGCGTAGGCGGCGGATCAACATGGTGGCGCAGAGGCGGCGAGAGTGGGCGGCCGACAGAGTGTGGAGGGAGCGCCTTCTTTTATAGCGAGCGCCGGCCGCGGCGCGCGCGCGAACCTTTCCCGCGCGCTGGAGCGCCAAAACCAGCGCGCGCGAACCTTTCCCGCATGCTCGAGCGTCAAAATCAGGACGATGGCACGATGTTAAACGCGCGCAGTCATGAAAATGAGTCAGCCCGTTGGACACACTGCCGACCCAAAACTAAAAGAGGGCGGACGGCGAGCGGGCGGCTGACCCAAACGGAAAAAGAGCGAACAAAAACGCCGTCCGTTTTGATCGGCCGGCCCGTTGGAGTTGCTCTCACACCCTTGAAACCTTCCTTCTTCCACGCATTTCAACACCCTCGTACGCTCCCACTTCCCAAATATGCCCGCCAAGCTAGCATCACTAAAGACCGGACAGAGTCTAAGTTCATAAAAAAAAGGCAGGAAAAGGAGAAAGAGAGAGATGGCGAGTTCATCGCTTCGGGTGTTCGTTCTACCGAGGAGGGAAGAAGGCATATCAGGCTGAGAGATCAGAGATGCAGCCTCCGGCGAAGGCTGGCCGGCTCACTCGGAGCCTGGTTGTGAACGGCGGCGTGTTCATCTTCATCGCCGCGATTGTCGCCGGCGCTTTCGTCTCCGCCTACTGGATATCTGCCAGCGCCAGAGTAAAGTTTTCTAGCTTCGCACTCTCTCTCTCTCTCTTGTTTGCTGAAATGCTGTGATATAATTACAGATGCATCATGGCTTATCGCAGAATAGTAGTTTGAGTTAATAGTAGTTTGAGTTTGTTGATCATCCGGGTAGGGTCATGGTAGGGTAGGGCAGGACTTCAGAGAGTTGCGACAGTACTTGACACCGGCCGACCGATGCATCAGAAGTTCAGGAACATAGAACAGCACTACCACGGTTGCCGACAAGTCTGCCGGGCAACCGAACCACCAGCCACTGAACATTCGGAAACAATCTCGTTAAGATGGGACTGGATTGCATCATTTGTTACTACTAGATGATGTCCCACACGTTGTTGCGGGAATATTTGCAATATTTCAATAAAATTTTAATTATATGAAATATGAATTCTTGAAACAATAGTTTCTGAAAGTATATAAGAATTAAATGTAAATAGCATAATAAAATGGAATTTTACATGCATGCATGTTGTAGTGAATTTTTAATATGCATAGTTGCATATTGAGGTGGGTCTTTTCTTATGCATGTTGAATGATAAGGTGTCATACTTGCATGTTGAGAGAAATATCTTAGTGGGAGCTAGCTATTTAGATATAGAAGATTAAGTGACCAACATCTTGGTATGAAATTTGTATACAATTTACAGGTTGCTTCGATCATTCCTGCCGGTTGGGGGCCCCTTCCTCCGCAGCAGCCACCTGCTCCGGCGCCGGATGCCGCAGAACCAGCGACGACGGCGTGCCCGGCCTACTTCCGGTGGATCCACGAAGACCTGCGGCCATGGCGAGCCACGGGGATCACGCGCGAGACGTTGGAAGGCGCCCGCCGGTACGGCGCCAAGTTCCGGGTGACGGTGCTCGCGGGGCGCCTCTACGTGGCGCGCTACGGCCGGTGCTTCCAGACGCGGGACGTGTTCACGCAATGGGGCATCCTGCAGCTGCTCCGGCGCTACGCTGGCCGCCTCCCCGACCTCGATCTCATGTTCAACTGCCAGGACCTGCCGGTCGTCAACGCCGGCGACCACGCGCCTCCGCCGCTGTTCCGGTACTGCGGCAGCGAGCCCACGCTGGACATCGCCTTCCCTGACTGGTCCTTCTGGGGCTGGTAAAGTACTAGTACTACTCTGCATGGCATCGCACCAATCATGCCGCGTCTATTGAGGAGTGCTAATTGTTGATCGGTTCTGTTTGAACTTATACGAAGGCCGGAGCTGAACATAAAGCCATGGGAAGCGTTGAGAAGGGAGATTAGTGAGGCGAATGCGGCGTTGGACTGGACGCGCAGGACGCCGTACGCGTACTGGAAGGGGAACCCGACGGTGGGCGCGGCGCGCCGGGAGCTCCTCAAGTGCAACGTCTCCCGCGAGCGTGACTGGAACGCCCGGATCTACGCGCAGGCACGCCACAACTATGCCGCACGTAGTTCAGTGTCAGTAATGCTCATCAGCGCACGCTCTGCATTTTTTCAGGACTGGAGGACGGAGGTACGAGACGGGTTCAGGGCATCGGACTTGGCCAAGCAGTGCACGCACAGGTAACATTGCTCTCGCCCACGCTCGTGGTCGTGCCACGGGCACATTGGCACGCTGGCTGGCGCCTGACGCTGACATTGTTGGCACCGCTGGTGCAACGACGGGCAGGTACAAGATGTACGTGGAAGGGCGCGGGTGGTCGGTGAGCGAGAAGTACATCCTGGCGTGCGACTCCGTGGCGCTCGTGGTGCGGCCGAGGTTCCACGACTTCTTCTCCAGGGGGCTCGTGCCGCTGCGGCACTACTGGCCCGTGCGCGGCCAGTGCCGGTCCATCAAGTTCGCCGTGGACTGGGGCAACTCGCACCCAGGCAAGGTATACGTACTGCTACCTCATTTCGGCAGCCTCCGTCCAGCCCGTCGCACCGCCGGAGATTCTGAACCACTGCTCCCGTCTCGTCGCTCGTCGGTGCTCGCACTTGCAGGCGCGGGTAATAGGAGGAAATGCGAGCCGGTTCGTGCAGGAGGAGCTGACGATGGATAATGTGTACGACTACATGTTCCACCTTCTGAGCGAGTACGCTAGGCTGCTGCGGTACAAGCCCACGGTGCCGGGCGGGGCCGTGGAGGTCACCGTGCAGTCCATGGCGCGCGGAAGGCGAGGGCTGGAGCGGGAGTTCATGGCGGGCACGGCGGTGAACGTCTCGGGCAGCGCGGAACCGTGCGAGCTGCCGTCGCCGTTCGGGTCCGAGGAGCTGGAGTCGCTGCGGAGGAGGAAAGCCGATGCGGCGAGGCAGGTGGAGACGTGGGAGGAGCGGTGACCGACGACTGACGAACGAAGGAGAGAAGAGTCAAAGGATGGCGTACGTACGTGTTCTGAGTTTCTGACGTGCGCATTGGATCGACCATTATGCAGTAGGAGTGGTGGTGGCAGGGAAGCACGATGAAAACGGTAAAAGGGAATTGGAGAGCACGCAGTACGCTAGCGATGTTCCGTGGCGTTAGTGCTGTGCGGCAGGAGTAATGCTAGACTTAGGTAAGATTACGTAAATGTTTACGTAAAAAGGAACGTGGTGAGGCGGGATTGGATGGATAGGGGCAGCAGGGGCCCATCCTGTTAAAATCCTACATCCACCTAACACACTACGAAGACTTACGAAAGCTTCCTAACTAAAACTCTCTGCCCCCCTGATTTTAACGGGGTGGGTCCTTGCTGCTCTTATTTGTCTAGGATATATCTAGATGTGCTATAGTTATTGCACATCTAAGTGACACAATCAAGTATGAAAAGAAAAAAAATTCTTTCACACGAATCTCCGCGTAAGATCAATAACATAGGATTTAGATGTGGAATACTTATAGCACATCTAGATGTGCTTTAGCAAAACTCCATCCAATCCCACCTCACCACGTTCCTTTTTACATAAAACATTTACGTAACCTTACCTAAGTCTAGCATTACTCGTGCGGCAGTACCAAAGTGCGTCCTGAAAGATACCGTTCGGTTGTTGGTATGCTTCACCGGTCAGTCATGGAAGTGATGGAGCGGTTGATCCATGGTATCCGTACTCGTGACTCAATTTGGATTTCTTTTTTACCTCACTTATACTCTCTCTCTGTCCCTAAATAAGTGTCTCAACCTAAATACAACTTTGTATTAAAATTTATATAAAGTTGAGACGTTTATTTTGAGACAGAGGGAGTATTACTTAGCTCTTGATGAATCATCATTCGACCTTTCTACGTCTCATCACCTTCCATAAATTATTCTAGAAAACATAAATTCATTAACTATGATCTCTGCACCAGCTGTAGATATATAATAACAACATTGTATACATAGGCAAAAGACTTGGAGAAAAATAATAGAAAAACAACACACATGATGGCGGATTGTGGAACACAATGCATGTCAAAATTGATTATGAATTTCAGTGATTTCAATAAACACAAAAATATTTACCTTTTGATCAAACTATTTTACTTATTTCAGTTGTACAGATGAATCCCAATTTTCAAATATTTTTTTAGAACTTCAAATAAATGTTTATGTGCTTTGGCCGAAATGTAAACCAAAATCATCGAAATTAACTGAAATTTGGTAGGTGCTGAAATATTTCCGAAACTAAAACTTAAAACCATGCTACCTTGTAACCCTATAAGAGTGCTACCAAGAGATCATACACACACAACAATAATTATATGGCGATGAGGTGTAGAGAATGTTAGCCCATCAAAGCGAGGCCTGCAACCTTTATAGAAGCATCCGACCAAGCGCTCACCACACCACCATCACTGAATGCAGTCGAAGGTCCAACATGGTTCAATTTTTCTTTAACAAAGTGAATGCAGCCTCAAAACTTAGGATCAAAATCAAACCATTCAAAGTCAGATTTAAATACCTCAACAATTATTTAAATTAAGTGGATATTATTATGGTCTAGAGTTTATCCCTCAACCGTGAAAATGGGTAGTCATAACTATTGAACCTAGATGATGTCTCGCGTGTTGCTGTAGAAACCTTGTAACAAATAGTTGCTAAAACAACTAAATCTGATGGAAAGCAAATATAAGCTTAAAAACAGTAAAACATATGAAACCTCTAAAAAAGAAGGATTTTTTGATTTACGGTTAAAAGAACGTTGTTTCTAACAAAAAGAGAAGGATGAACTACATGGATATGTTGCAAACGCCCAACACAAATAACGTCCATAAAGATACAAAATCTAATGAAAAAAGTAACTTATGACTTTTTTTGCGGAAAAAGTAACTTATGACTAACATGCATGAGTTGATGATGTTGCGCTACATGCATAGAGTAACGCAAAAAATTGCTTATGACTTAAATGCATGGTTTGCTCATGTGGCATGTTTGCATAGTTAGAAAAATAGATAGAGGGTTGTAGCTATTTAGGAACAGGGGATTGTTTGCCTCTTGGCACCTACATGCATTAGTTATTCACTCGACAAATCAAAACATATGAAAGATTTCAAAATTCATGAAAGGAAAATTTTGACGTATGACCTATGAATTACTATCGAATGCACTTTGAGTTTTAGAACAATATGAGAGATAAGTTACACATATCACCACAATATTTATCTTTATTTTGTTTTTATAAATCTGGCACGTTTCTACTTACTTAACTCTAACTCGATGCTTTCAGCCGTTTAATTTCTCCCACATTGAAATCTTTATAGGGTTTCGAAAATCAAAACAAGGCCATACCTCCAGCACATCAAGGAAAAAAAGAATCAAGTTATATGTAAACTGATTATATATATATATATATATATATATATATATATACATACATATATATATATATATAAGTGTGAAATAATGCCTTTTTTTCTTCTAAAAATCAGATCGCGGGTTAGACAGCCCACAAACGTTTCATTAAGCTGAATGGTGTGTACAACGCCGACCATGCGAGTAGGGACATTTGAACTCAAGCGGGTGGGCAGGTATCAACACCTAGTCACCTACTGACCACCGGATTGAGCCACAGTTCACTTACTTTTCTTTTCTATAGGATACAAAAAATAATCATATTTTTCGGGAAGTATTGCAGATTCTTGTGTGATTGCATGGTTTGTATTTACCACTATAATTACTTTCATAATTTTCAAGAGCTGGTTTCATAAGCTGAATGGTTTTCATTTTCATCTGCTCGTTGTGGAAAGTCGTTGACGTGTTCAACGTAGCTGCTGCGCTAGCCTGTGGAGACGTCATAAATTGTGGGTCGTTGTCTGCCCCTGTGTGCCGCTGGGAGCGTCATAACTTAACAGAAGAGCTCGTGCCTACCGTCAAAGGAAACAGAGCACCCGCTCACTCTCGCCTGCTCTTCAAGCAGCACTGTCTGAATTCTGAAACACCTTGCTGCAGCATATACACCTGACCCAGTGGAGGTCACCGGCGGTTGGCGAAGAGGCCGGCCGCCATGGCGATGGCGGTGGCACCAGCTGGGGCCGTGGAGGGACAGCGGTCCAGCAAGCTCGTCGCGGCGCTGTCGAGAACGAGCGCGACCTTCCTCTTCTTCTCCGTGGTCGCCGTCGGAGCGGTCGCCGTATCCACTCGCTGGATCACCACCAACACCACCACTGTGAGTTGATACTTGAACCCGTATGATTCTTGGGTAGATTTTCCGTCTCGTGTTGCCATGCTGAAAGACTCTGCATGCGTGATCGGCAGCAGCAGCCCAGCTTCTTGATGCAAACGAATAGAGTTTCCCTTCCCTTCTCAAAGAATCGAGTACTTTGGTTGACTTGAGGGACGCCGCCGACCGTCGTCTACCCCTACCAAGGACTACGGCGGCGATAGCCGCTCAGGCATGAATGCAACTTTGAGGTCTGGGGTTTTACTCGACGTTGTGAGTGTCGACACGTACGGTGCTTCCGTCCATCGCAGCCCGTTAGCCGCCGGCATGGACCACGGCGTTGAAAGCCGGTAGGTATGCCGTATTAGTTTTTTCCTTTCTCGTGTCCGCTTTGTGCTGTGCCCTTCACGTCACGGTGCGTGCCCATGGACGCACTACGCACTACGCACAGCACCACGCTACGGGCGCAAGCAGCAGCCCCCCTCGGTGAGTGTAACCCGGAGGGTCGGCTGCGAGGTCGTCCTCCTCCCTGCCGTGCCCTCCTCCTCCTTTCTTTTTTCGGGAGAAAGAAAAACTGAAAACGAAGGCGCCAAAGGAAAAGCGGTATTTTGACAAGATCGCGAGCGTTCACGCAGAAAGGGTAGAGAAAGACAAGAAGAAGAAAGGAGGAGGGGTCACGACTCACGGGAGAGTGCACGGGTGGTTGGAGCTTTGGAGGTCGGCCGCAGATGCCTTCTTTAGCGAATGTTTCCATTCGATGCTGGAATAAAGAGGAAGACGACGATTGGTCTCTGACTTGTGAGATTCGGTTTCGTCCAGAAAAAAAAAAGGGAATGTCCACGGAATTGGCCATGGCTGCCGCCGCCCTCCGCTGGCACTGCCCATGCGGCCATGCCTCTGCCGAGCCTGCCTCCTGTCGCGAGGCCAAGCTCGGCCACTTGCAAAGAAAAGTGGAGGTATTGTAACAAGACCACGATCCACGGTCCATGTAGAATAGAAATAGAGTGGAGGTATTGTAGTCTGTTCCTTCGTTTTTAAATATACATGTACATAGATCTTCTCCACTTTTTATATAAAAAAAACAGAGTTGATGATGATGATGTGCCTGCCATCCTGCAATACAGGCCGCCCGATTTATATCTGACGGGTAGGAAGGAAACTATGGCAATTTTGTAAAAAGATACCCACACCCCTCTCCACATTTACAAATAAGGCCTTTTCTCGTTCATTATTTTCTCTCACAAGATAAACTACTCATACAAATGCATCTTAATGTTTCATGCAACGCACGGGCATCTTGCTAGTATGTATATTACATTAGTGTAAATAATCAAACATGTTGCTGCACTCTACACAAAAGAAAAACAATGGACTTTTATAGTGAATAGCACATCGGCTGGAAATACAATAGCTTTTTTAGCTCAGACCAAAATATATTTCATTATGAAGAAAAAACCGAAAATGCATGCAGAAAAGAGAATTAAAAAAGTCCTCCCACGGGTTGCGCCCAACATGCGACACATGACAGTGATTGGGTGCAACAAGTGGCGCGCTCTTAGGTCACCCAAAATGCACGTTGGGTTCTCATCGAAATGGTACCCCTTAATTAGTTGCTCCCGTGTTAAGAGGAAAAAAAATCAGTTGCTCCCACAAAAAAACGCTCTCCGTATTATATCATAATATGTCCTCATCCTATACCACGCATATGAACGTATTTTTAA